TGTGTTGTAAATTTATTTTCTCGTATTAAAAAAATGATATTCATATGTACACAGCATATATTATAAAATAAATTTGATAAAATACATTATTAGACTACTACAAATAAACGCGTACGAGATTCCTCGTTTTTAAATTAATGCGACTCGAACATTAGTCACGGTTTAATACTTTCAATTTTCGCGTTTTGAGGAATGGGGAAGTGAAAATTTATTTCCCTCGATCATTCATTAAAAAATAATATTGTAAATTTTCATCAGAATTATGTGACGAATGAAGGAAATTCTATTTTAGTGGAGAATGTTAAACGTTAAATAAAGTCCAAATACAAAAAAAAAAAAATTTTGTCTATGTATGCGTATGTATGGATAACATTATATGATATTATAATATGAACGCCGATTCACTACTAATATCCATCAGCTAAAATTCTCGAGACCGCCAAAATACAAACACTTCTTTTTCGATCCAGAATCGGTCATTCCAACTGGGAAGACTATAACACATGCAATAAAATAAATTCATTAAATTGTAAATAAACGAAACTCAGTTTCCTCTATTGTTCAAGATTTTGGGGGGTGAAAAACTTCTCTTTGGTGGGAGAGGCGTGAATAACAAATAATACTCGAGAAGAGGTTGATGAAGTGGAACTCAAATGATCATGAAATTAATGTTGATTTATCATACATTGTTTGAAAAAAAAGTTCTTTTTAGATAATATTAAATATCTGATCTGCCAAAAGAAACCTAGGTGAGCACATATTTACAGCCGAACCAGACCGGACATGCCAAAAATTTATTCAGGTGACTTACGAAATTTTAGGATATAATACAGTCTTCCTTGTTTGCCTGGGCTCTTGTATGTTTCGCCGGTTTTACTCGACTTTGATTCCCAAGCTTTTTCATTTCCGTTAATCTTTGCATCGCCCTTTTATTGCCTTGCGCTAATGACGCAAATGTAAATTAGTGTAAAGTCAGGATTGATCTAATCGATGGGTAAATGACGGGCAAATGCTTGATAAAAAAACAAGTAATACCTGCTGCACGCATATACCAACGTCTGGCTTCTTCAAGATTTTGATTCGCACCAATGCCAACTTCGGAATAGTAACCGATGGCATACTCCGCCTTTGCAAAACCTTTGTCGGCTGCCTTTCGTGCCCACAAATAAGCTTCATCATCAGATTGTTTCAATATGCCTTCCGAACCCGTCAGGTACCAACCGGACAACGCCAACTCCGCGTCAGGGTCACCCTTTTCGGCGGCTTTTGAATAATATTTGATGGACTGGCGTGGATCGACGGGGCATCCCAGTTGACCATATTCATAGCAACAGCCCAATTTATAGCAGGAAGGAGCATAGCCTAAATCGGCGGCCCGCTTAAATTCTTCGATAGCATGCTTCTCGTTTCTAATTAGTGAAGGAATTTCCGGTGGTTCCTTTTCCGGTTTAGCGTGTAGCAAACCTAATTGATGCAAGGCATGCGGATTCTCCTCATCGGCATTGGCTGCCGCACGTTTAAGCCATATGACGGCTTCACGGGTATTCAGTTGTTGTGCCAAAAGTCCTTTCAACATGATCATGCCAAGTTTATACATGGCAGCTGTGTCGCCTAATGCAGCAGCTTTTTTAAAGAATTGCGTGGCACGATGTGGATCTCGTTTCGTCCCTGCACCAACCTCATAACATACCGCAGTACGATACGTAGCGGCGCCATGATTTTGTTTCGATGCTTGCATGTATAGGCCGAATGCTTTGTCGGGATCAAGTGGCAACCCCAACGAACCATTGCTGTAGCAATTTGCGAGGTAAAATTGAGCTTCCGGATATGCTGGTCGACCGAAACCTATTCCCTGAGCCAGTCGCTTGATTAACTTAATCGCCTCCTGTAATAATGCGTCTTTTCTCTTTTTGGCATTTTTCGGGTCAGGTTCATTACCCTCCGTTTCCGCCGCAGCCTCAATTAAATATTTTGCGAAGGAAAACAAAGTAGCAGGATTTCCACTATCTTTAGCCTTCGTTCGATATTTCTCTATGGCTTCCGGAGTGTAGGAAGGTTTCTCTTTCGCAGGTTCTGATTTCGCTCTCACATTAATTGAGTCCATTCTGCTTGATTGACCTGGTTGAATCGGTTGACCCATTGGTTGCTGATCATAATACATAGGGGCTCCATATTCATCTTGGGGATAATCTTGTGGTGGATAATTCGGCCCGTAATTTGGATCGTAATTTTGGTCATAGTAGTATTGTTGATCATAATAATAATTCTGAGGTTGCATTTCACCACCATAATATCCTTCGCCGGTCGGATACTCCTGTTGATAATGATCATATCCGTATCCATCTCGTTGATAATCGTACCCTCCCTGATCATAAGCATACTGTTGAGGGGGATAATCGAAAGCATCCTCCGGGTACCCCACAGCCGGGTCAAAATTTTGTCCGGGAGCATAATAATTTTGACCTTCATAGTAGTGCTGTTGCTGTTGCTGCTGCTGTTGATGATCAGCATTCATGATCCCAGCGGAGGGGTCCGAACCTTGAGGATAGTTATAATAGTCATCGCGGTAACCATAGTCCTGATACTCTTGTTGCGGATAAGGTGTTTGCTCTTGATGCTGTGGATATTGCGGGTGGGGTTGTGTAGGAGACACATGCTCCTGATTTTGTGAGGGAGGTGCATGGTCGTGATATTGTGGACGCTGTGATGGATGAGGCGTTTTCTCTTGATATGTATATTGAGGATGAGGAGAGGGTGAGGTTGATCGCTCTTGAGGTTGTTGATATTGCGATGGGGGCAATTGCTCTTGGTGTGATGAATATTTTGAGGTGGGAGGCATCTGATCCTGATGCGAATATTGTGAATTTGGAGGCATTCGATCCTGGTGCGAATATTGCGAGTTTGGAGGCAATTGATCCTGGTGTGAATATTGTGAGTTGGGGGGCATCGGCTCTTGATGTGGATACTGCGAGGTAGGAGGCATCTGATCTTGATGTGGATACTGCGAATTGGGGGGCGCCTGCTCTTGGTGCGAATATTGCGGGGTAGAAGGCATCCGATCTTGGCGTGTATACTGAGAATCAGGAGGCATCTGCTCTTGAAGAGAATTGGGAGGCATTCGATCCTGGTGCGGATATTGTGAATTTAGAGGCATCTGCTCTTGTTGTGAGTAGTGTGAAACGGGAGAAATTTGTTCTTGGTGTGAATATTGTGAGATGGGGGACATCTGTTCTTGATGAGGAGGGTATTGCGAGTCCTGATGTCTCGGATATTGTGAAGCGAGAGGCATGTGCTCTTGATTATTTGGACGAGGACGAGGAGAGGTACTTCTCTGCTGAGTGAACGGCGTTCTTAACCCGGAGGATGTTACCGGCGTTGAATTTGAGCGAGAGGGGTGTAGCATTTGACGATCGTCGCTTATTCTCATATTTCCCATGCGTGCTATGGTGTCGTCAACATCAGGCCCAGGGGAACTTGTTAACTGCGATCCATAGTCCTCGAAACCTTGCTCGACATAACGATGTTGTCTAGGGGGGGGGGGCTCGACGATCGTTGGGATACGAGTTCTGAGGAGTCGATTGAGAACGACCAGTAGGTGCGCTCATTTTATCGAAATCGAGTAATTCTTGTTCTAATACCTGTATTAGATGGACGGAAAAGAAAGGAAAAAAAGAAAAAAGAAGCGGAGAGCAGCAAGTAATGCATCTATGTAACGTACACCAGAGTTTTTTTTTTTTTTGCGTTACTCGAATGAAACCAATTAGGTGATATGCGTGCCCCCTATCACGACTTCTTTATGATATTGATGTTTGAATGGATGGAGCGGATAGGTCAGGTTTCAAAGGAATTGGATTAAGTCATGTGATGATTTTTAATACAATTGTGGAAATGATTGGCGCCAACACTTTAAACGAACTCAATTACACCATGTCAAAGAGAAACAAGACTTCGTCATCGCCACAATATGTGAAGCTCATAAGCTCAGATGGTTTCGAGTTTATCATTCAAAGGGAAGCAGCAGTCATCTCAGGGACCATCGGTAACATGTTGTCAAGGCCCGGTGAGTTTTTATTTTCACTTGTGGGAGATCGATTTTTCATTTCCTGCGACGTTTTAACCTTTTATTATTATTATTATGACAGGACAATTCCTGGAATCTGAACTCAATCAAATCCGTTTCCGTGACATCAAGTATGAACTTCTCCAGTAAACGCAAAAGAATTTTTTTTTTTTTTTTTTTTTTTTTTTTTTTTTCGCTTTATGGGATCTCACCCTCACGATCTTGATCTTAATCGCAGCGCCGTGATCTTGGAGAAAGTCTGTCAATACATGTATTATAAACTTCGGTACACTAATTCTGTGACCGAAATACCAAATTTCCCCATCAATCCTACCTTCTCGCTGGAATTACTCATGGCTGCCGACTTTCTAGACTGTTAGGGTTTGTGACAATATGAGGGGTGGGGGATTGTTGTCAAATTCAATTTCCCAATAGATAAAATTTAAAGTTCTTCGGATGTCCGTCGATGATAATTTTAATAAATCTAGATTAATTAAACTTGTAAGAAATGAGATGTGTCAGAGCTCGTTTGTTAGCAAGTGAAGCAAATAGAAACAATAAAGAAACGTTGCAAGATTTCGTAAATTGAATACCTTATTTGGCAGTATGACGAACGCGAATGACGATTTCGCCATGTGACAATTAAGGGAATCAATATGACCTGATCGTCTTTTTTTTCAGAAAGCTTGTTCCGCATTAGAATGCCACAAATCATCTCACATTCGTTCTGGGTTCGTCTGTCCGAAGTAATATCCGAGCTTTATGAAGATCTTCAGGACTCCACGATCTGGCAACGAATATTGGGTTGGTGTTTGGCATTCTTTCTCAACCTGTTCCTCATTGTAACGAGGTTTAGAAGAGGTGATAATAGGATGCAGGCAGGATCGTACAAGGACGTAGATAACGTGGAGGATTTTCTTGCAAGTGTTAGCGGCGCGGAGATATTCCTGCTGCTTTTCAGTCTCGCTAACGCGGTTTATGTATGGGCTAGAAAAAGAAGATATCACTTTTTTCAAAGGGGTCCTTCGCAGAGACCCGAGGTTGCCAATGCGAGACTCGTCGACCTGAAGCTACCTTACTTTGCTCAAAATAGGATTGGAGAATACGTGTATGAAATTCGATCCCGATCGGGTTAAGTTCTTATTGATATCAGTATTAATGCATGCAAGTTTTTTTTTTTTATTATTATTTTACCAGGGTCCGAATATATTATGAACTACTCTTTGATATGCAATATCGAGGCCAGTATGTTTGGCAAGTTAACGTTTGGAATCCAGATGATTTTACGCTCAGTCTGTTTTGTGGATTTTCGCCGGCTCATGTTGGTATTCTGATTCTTATGAACCCTGGAATTTGGACTTATTATGTTGGCACGATTGCACTCCTGTCCTTGCAGATGTACGTCAATGTTTATAAATTCTCATCTCTGGTCACAGACAGACAAGCTATTTATGGGGAGGTTCAGAGAGAGTATGACAACAAATTTGTCAGACCAAGACTTTTCGTGGAGAAGCAAAACGACTCCACGCAAACAAATTTAAATGAAGAATTGAGTAGACTTGATGATACGTGGCGTACATTTGAATCGAACCAATACCCAGAAGGGATGGATAACCCGTGGATAGGATCTTCGTCATCATCAAATTTGCACCAGGACAACACCACCTGAATGCATTCAGTAGTACACCAGCTTAATGCGGAACAATTGATTGGAGATGAACGATCTTTTCGCTTTAAAAAAGAGACTTCACGTACGAGCGAGCACATTGTAGATTCTTGTTTGCAAGAGCATCGGGTATGGAATTTGTGAGATTCAACTAACCAAATTTTTATATACTAACTCGATCTTCTATTATTATGACAGATAATATACGACCTTTTTACTCTTACATTTCCGTTCAAAGTTACAACCTGTAATAGAATATATCTTTATATGCATTCTTCTTTTATCTAGAAAAGTTCAATAATATAGAATAAAAGAACCAATAAAATTTGGTGGTCGCATTACGTGTTATTACCATTATTCTTCTTCAACACGTATATTTATTATGAATCAAACGAGACATTTTACATGAGCTCTGAAAAAATATTATCTTTCACTTTACTCGTAAATAAGTTGATCTATCCTTTCGCGTTTCCATGAGCAGACGCCGTTTGGGAACCAAAGATTTATTTCTTTTTCGGCACTAGCAACCGAATCGGAGCTAAGGTATTATGTGCAGAGACAGGTTAATAAAAGAAAGAAAGGAAAGGAAAGGAGTAGAGATGTGTACGAACCCGTGACAGAGGTTGTGACCAACTTTGTGGATAATGAATAAGGTCAACGAGTTAGTATTATCTCATCGTGGAAACAAACAACAAAAAAAGAATGAGGGTCCTGATTATCACCATCAATACAGAAATCGCCGCGAATAGTGCCGGGTGCGGATTCAAGTGGATTGGTTTCACCCAAAAGTTTACGTCCAGTCTTAACGGCATCTTTACCTTCCCAGACCATACCGACTACAGGTCCGGACAACATATCTAATGATGGGAAATTATTATTATTATAATACGTGTGATGTCGGGAAAAGAAAAAGAAAAGAGAAGCTTACAATTAATGAGACTATTAAAGAAAGGTTTCTCACTCAAGTCCTTATAATGTTCCTTCAAAATTTCCTTGGTGGTCTAAAAAAAAAAAAAAAAAATTTTTTTTTTTTGAAAATGTTTAATTTAATGATCCTTATGTGATAAACGACATCAACATGAATAAGGTTGACGCTAACCTCGAAGAGCTGAATGGCTGCGAGTTTATATCCCTTGTTTTCGAAGCGTTTGATAATCTCACCGACCAAACCACGCTCGACACCGTCGGGCTACAAACACCAATTCTTTAGATTCAAAAATAATTAATTACGAACGTCCGTAAAGAGACGCAAGTTACCTTGACCATTATATATGTACGTTCCATCGCAGTCCGAGTTAAAGATGATTTTAATAAGGGTGAGAAGACGTGAAACGTAGAGAAATGACGAAAGGATTTTCACTTGGTGGCTTTAAGTTGAATGCGGCGTGTAGATCTTTTTTTTTTTTTTTTTTACATCTATTGGCCAATCATGTAGTGGAAACGCCGTCGAGGATGTCAAAGAAAAAAGTCAACATTCTTGTCGGAGCGACGGGAAGCGTGGCAAGCATCAAGATACCGAATCTGATACAATCCTTATTGAAGGTATCGTCTTCAAGGGAATCCTCGTGGTGCACGTACACTCGTACGCAATGTGATATGGACTTTTTTTTTTTTTGACATCCATTCTTCCTTCAACGTGTAGTACGAAAATGTCGAGATCAAAGTGGTCGCGACAGAACGAGCTCTACATTTCTTTGATAGAAAATACGTAGTGGAGGAATTAGGAGTCGAGGTCATAACTGATAAGGACGAGTGGGAGGTTGGTGAGATCCCCGAACTTGCACCATCGAGGAAAAAGCGAAAAGCATTCATTATTCACCAACATATCACTTAGGCCTGGAGTAAAATATCAGATCCTGTTTTGCACATCGAGGTAAATGTCTCTTACGCCTAACGATTTAAAGGGAAAATATCTAATAGGAATTTTTAATTAAATAATACGACGAATCTGTCTGCTCCAAGTATCGAAATTGGGCCGATATCTTCGTCATCGCTCCGCTCGACGCCAACACCTTGGGAAAAATCGCAAATGGGTTATGTGATAACCTGATCGTCAGTAAAATCTTATCCTAATCATCTTTCCGTCATTTTTCTGCAAGCTAACAAACATCAATGGCACACTGATAATTCATTCAAAAGACATGTATCTTGAGGGCATGGGATATGACACGTCCGGTGATCATATGTCCAGCAATGAATACCTATATGTGGGAACACCCATTCACATCAACGCATTTAAGAGTCTTGGAAGATCAATTGAGATTCCTAATTATTTCCCCCGTAAGCAAGAAATTGGCGTGTGGTGATACAGGTAAGTTATCGAAGTACGGTAATAAAATAATAGATTTCACGCATCGATGATATGGTATTTATTATGCAACGCAAATGTCTCGCGCGAGAATTAGGTGTTGGCGCAATGGCGGAAGTGGCGACGATCGTGGAATTCCTGGCTCAAAAATTGTCCATCTTTAAACTTACTTAGCCAATTAATTTAACAATCCCATTTTCTCTTTGTAAATCTTAATAAAATTTTGCCCGGATGCGATTTACCGTCGCTAATTCGTCACGTCATTTTTCCCTAATTTGGATTCAATTTATTGCATGTATAACCGGACCGATCAACTTAAACTCCACAAAACTTGATATTTTTAAATGTGAATAATCGCACGATACGTGACCTTCTCTCCTTAGTTTCTATAACTCGTGGTGTTTATTAATACATAGGGGGTCTATCCATTCTCGAGCATCGATCGTCTTCTCGCATTCTTTACCCCTTTACTTTCATCACTAAACCAAATTTGACGTAACTCCTCTGGCGTAGTTCTTCGATTATGGTTTACGCGGTGCTCACATAAGGGTTGCATATGTATTTCCCTTTTTTTAAACAACTCCCAAACTTGTCAACAAAATTCTTTTACGTAAACATTCCAACATTTCTTCTCTCTCCACCCCCCCTAAAATCTTGCCCTAATGGTATTTTGTTATATAAGACCAAAGGGGCATAATTGACTTTTTTTTTTGTCTGTACTTCTTGTCCTTCAACATCAAGAATATTTATTTTATTCATCCAAACTTCGTGCCAACGTAAAAATTTGAGAAGTTTACTGTATTCCTCTTTCCTATTACATATACTATTGTGACTTCCTTTTTTGGTAAGCATTCATCCCTTTACACGAAATGCTTGACTCACGTGTTTCTTAATTGGAATGTCGTATTTTCGCTCCAGTAGATAGCAGCAATGTCGAGCAGTGGTGAAGAGACGAACAAAAGAAATAGGTGAGCTAAAAGTTTTAACTGTGCTTGTTGACCCGCGCGCTTTTCTTTTCTTTCTTTTTTTTTTTTTCCTCTGCGGGTCCTTCTAATGCAAAATGTTTCCAAAACGAAACAGCGTGGTTGTGAAGGTTGGGATGGTCGGTGATTCGCAAATAGGAAAAACAAGCTTGATGGTTAAATATGTCGAAGGTTCCTTTGACGAAGATTACATTCAGACATTAGGTAAATCGATGCGATCCAACTAGAATCATTGTGCTTTACATCGAAGCGCTGATTTCTTACCAGCGATCTCCTCTTTTCCTCTAGGCGTCAATTTCATGGAGAAAACCATTTCCATAAGAAATACCGAGATAACTTTTAGTATATGGGATCTTGGTGGTAATTTTGGTTCTTTTGTTGTCGGCACGGCGACAAACGATCCCTGGCCTCTGTTGAATTCACATGATGTCTAAGTTTCGGTTATTCATATGACATTTCATTAGGTCAACGCGAATTCGTGAACATGCTTCCGTTGGTGTGCAACGACGCAGTCGCCATCCTTTTCATGTTCGATCTATCACGAAAGTCCACGCTAAACAGCGTCAAAGAATGGTACCGTCAAGCGAGAGGATTCAATAAGGTGCGTCTCACCCGGTTTTCGTCAATCATTCATTGGTCAATCCTGATAATTCGCATTAACACGATATTCGCACCCTTTCATTGACACGAAAGACGGCCATTCCTTTTCTCATTGGGACAAAGTATGATCAGTTTGCAAATTTCCCCAAGGAAGAGCAAGAAGAAATCACAAAACAGGTAGCATTCTTTGAGATATCATTTCATTTGATATTCGTGATCAATTTCTCGAACCCATGTTTAAATCATTGAAGGCTCGGCGTTTCGCACGGGCAATGAAGGCATCCTTGGTCTTTTGCTCCACGTCTCATTCCATCAATGTGCAAAAGATATTCAAAATTGTTCTCTCCAAAGCGTTCGATCTCAAATGTACAATCCCGGAAATCAAGGAGGTCGGTGCCCCCATACTAGAGTACATAATACGTCATCCCGAGCAATAAGAGAGCTGTAAACACGCGCGACCAATTGATACCGGGTGAAAGACTTGTTCTCGCTCGATTCAAGTCAATATTTTAACCTACCGCGAACATAAGGAACTATAAATAGTATAAATAGTGATGATATTAATGGGTTCGGTTTATAAATAATAATTGTAGTTTACTTTCATACACCAATATTCCCAATTCAAATTCTCAAGGTGGTTGTTCGTTCTCTCAATCGATCCTTCTTGTTTATGCTTTCTCTCCAACGTCTGGTTTACCTTGACTTGTAATCTTGTAATTTAATTTATAATAATAATAATTATGCAAATGATACGACATTCTACGAATGTGACCGTGTACAGTACATTATTTTTTTCATTATCATTGACCCGGTTCGGGCGTGCGTAACATGCGTACGCGCGTACAAGGAAAAGTAGTGATTGAATAATCAAGTTACGGTGACACGTGTTTAGGCATCAACGAATTCATGCATGGAAATAAAGAATTCTTCCCTCCATGCAACCTTAATAAACATGTTTCTCTCTTAAAGGCTTTTTTGATTATCTCTGTGTCCTTCTCCTCCTCCTCTCCCTCCCTTCGTTCACAATTTTCTCTTTTCTTTACAGTCGACGTAAAATTCCATTAATCTTCTTCACCCCCGCACAAAATGTCTCCTGTCTCTGTTGATTCCGATAACCCCCCATCACCACCACCACCTGATTACAACTTCGTAAACTCCCTCATTACCGAGAAAGAACAAGATGAGAAGCTCTTCACGGAGAGTTCTTTCAATATAAAAGACGAAGAGGAGAATGATGAAGAAGGACACGAGACCAGAAGTAGGGCGGGGCAACAATATGAGTCGCAACCAGTGACGAAAGTTGCCAACGATTCCAGTTGGACAGAGAAAAAACCCGCATTGGTTTTGAATCATCAAAAGTTCGACTTCATCGATTTTTTAGACTCCACGGGAGGATGTACGTTTAAACAACGAATGTCATCTTTTACTGCATCAACGTCTCTAATTTTTTTATCATGATAGTGGTTCATCACGAGAGCCCTTACGATTGTACCTTACCTCACCGAAACTCAAATTCCAAAGCACCGATCCTGGCATTCAAACAAACCGACGACATCATTCAATCCATCACACAACGGGATCAAGATTTGGATGATAAAAGTGATAAAAATCTGGGCAACAGATACACATCATATGGTACAAATTACCGGGACAGCTTTTTGGAAGGTTCCGCAGCTTACGGCATACAACCGTCTCGGAATCCCGAAAAAGCTAAAAGAAATAGTATATTCGACAGAACACTCAGCCTGAGAAGGTCGATATTACCCCGAAGGAAAAATAAGGATTCCCAAGCGGGCGAAAAACGGCAATCCAGTTGGTTTAAGCGTTGAGTGTCTCTTTCGATCATGATTCGAGGACAAATATTTAACATATCAAACAAATTTGCTAACAACATAAATAGTAAATTCAAATGTAATTTTAAAGATTTCCTTAAAAAAAAAAAAAAAAAAAAAAAAAATTCCATAAAACCAAAAAATTTTTATAGCATTTGGGTAGGATATTTGGTTATAATAAAAAATGTTTAATTTATTATCATAATTCCTTATTTAAATATTTGATTATCAAAATAAAAAAATCATCTTTATAAATTATATGATAATAAATAGATGGTTAAATGAATTGTATATATTTTATTAAACACTATAGTAATAAGCTATAAGTGATAATTTTAATAATTTAAAAATAATTCTAATTCGAAAGGAAGGTAAATATCCTTTTTTATATTATTTTATTTTAATACTAGTTCATTTCAAGTCTAATATTTATAAATTTTTAAAAAAAATTATAATACTTATTTAATGTAAATACTTTTTTCTATCGATATCATAAATGATGTTACTAACTATATTAGAAAATAAAATAATCAATTATATTATTTTTTATCAAAAGTTGACTTTGTTTAAAATATATTAATTTGTATCAATTAATTAAATTATTACTATCTATTATAAAACCTAACATATTAAGATTTATCCAGAATATTCAAATATTATCAATATTAAGAATCTCTTACAGTATATCAATTATGTAATATACTAATAAAAAAAATTTTATAAAGGAAAAAGAAAAAAATAAAAAATAAGAAAACTAAAAAAAATAAAATAAAATTAAAAATTTAAATACCTTACAAAAAAGAAAAAAAAAAAAGAAAAGAATAACAAGTCCTTTAACAATAATTTTTCAATTCTTTGTATTAATTTTATTATAATTTTAATATTTATAAAACTTGATAAAAAATAAGAGAATATAACTTATTTTTTTTTTTTTTTTTAACCTTATGTCAGGCTAGATATGTGTGCTTTATTAAACATTTGTATACTGTACATTTTAAATTATTCGCTAAAGCTAAGAATTTACCTAACTCACTCGTCGCCATTTTGTTTTAATATACCAAAACTCTAAGTGCAACTTCGGGAGTGATTTATCACTTCGTTAACGGTTCAGATGAATACCCTTTCAACCTTTAACATCATTGCCCGCAGATCACTAAAAAGAATATAACTTATTATATATATTTTTATATATTATATATACTGTATATATATATTTTTTTTTTTTTTTTTTAACCCGCTGTCAGGCTAGTTATGTGCGCTTTATTAAACAAAAGTAAACTATACATAC